ACATAAAAGTTGTTAAGAACAGAATCTACTAGATGAGATTGTTTAATTGCTACCAAAAAATAATTTTATTTATTAGAAATTATAACTGATATTAATAGATAATATTGTATTAATTAAATAATAGTTACATGTCCATACAACATCTATGTGGGTGTAAGAAATTAATAATAAGGAAAAAATTTTTTTAATTTATTATATATATTGTTTAGTAAACTATAATATATATACATTTATACATATATTAATAATGGTATAAAAGGCTCTTTACCTCTTTGGAATTCAGGATTAAGGTCAATTATTCCCATTTGCAACCAGTTGTATAATTTATATAAAGTATGGGTAACATTCCTTGGTTTAGTAAGTGCTTCTTCCATGGTTGTGAAAAGTCTAAGTTTATGGTATAAAAGAAGTAATTTTTATGGAAAAAGAAAAAATAATTTATTATATATATATTTATAAAAAATTTTCTAAAAAAAATTAAGGTTTTGAGGGATAAATTTTTATTCAAAAAAAAAAAAAATATATTATTAATTTTTTAGCCAAATTTGATAATTGAATTATTGAATTGATTATTCATTTTGGTAATCAATAATAATAAGGGTTTACCTGTTTAAACCATTCAAAACTCCGAAAATCTGACCGAATAAATATCTATAATGAGTTTGTTTGTTATTTATAATAACCCAAACCAATGTGCAACATCAAATTCATAAGTTTCAGGTAAATGAATTGGGTTACCTATTGCATAAAATTAAATAACAAAATAAAATGTACTAGACCAAATTACCATTCATTAATTATCCAAATAACCATTTTATAAAATTATATAAAAAAAGATTAAATATTCTCTTCCTTCATTTTATTTTTGCTTTAAAACTTACAATAATAAACACCAAAAATAACAATAGATAAAAAAATTGGTGTTTTTATTGATTTTTCTTCTTCTTGTCAAATATATACAAAATTTATTTAATAAAATAAAAATAAACACTATAGAATTTATATTTATTTTATCTTTCTTTTTATATATATATATATTTTTGTTATTTAGAATTTTCTTTTTTAAAAAAAAAATAAAAAATCCCACATATATAATTAATAACCAACACCAACACCAACACCAACACCAACACCAACACCAACACCAACACCAACACCAACACCACCACCAGAACCAACACCAACACCACCACCAACAACAACACCACCACAATCACAACAAATCACACATTAATACCCATATTCACAAACTACCATCAACCAAACTACCATCAACCAAACTACCATTTAAAAACAAACCAAACGATAATCTCAACCACTATAACTTATTTAACATAACCAAAATTAACGATTCTACTCTTTTAGAAATTAAGAAACATGGAAAATGTACGTTTAATTGAACAAGAAGAAGAACAAAATGTTTTGAGTAGTGTCATTAATTCGGAGGCAGTGGAAACCATAGACGATCTTGAAGAATATAATGAAGAATATAAGAACCTTCATCCAACAGGAGTATTATTATTACCATTAGAAGAGGTGACAACAATTGACCAGGAAATGAAAGAAAAACAAAATTTATTTCAATTGAATTATAAGAAAATAACTGAAGAAGTTTCAACTGTAAAAGAAAAAGAAACTGGAATGCAGAAAGAATTCATCTCATCAATCGAAGATTTGATTAATTGGATGAATTCTCGATTTAATAAAATTTTGATTAATCATGAATTATTAAAACCAGTTGTTGATATCAATGAATTTATTATTGATCTAGATTTAATAAATCCTTTAGATGAATCATTATCAAAATTAGAAAATGAATTGATAATTAAACAAACCGATGAATTTAATAGATTAACTAATAATAATAATAATAAAGATCATGATATTTTAAAATCTTTAAACTTATTATGGGAAAGTTTTAAAAGTTTACTAAAATTATCAAAATCAAAATTGCAGGAATTAAATTGGACTTCTAATTTATTACAGAAAATACAAGGAATTAGTATTGAAATTCAAAAGGTTGAAGTAATGTTAGAAGGTGTTGAAGAATCAAGGAAAAAAACTCACGATGAATCGACAACTTTTGCAACACGAAATAATAATAGTGGTTTATTAACATCTTCACCTAATTCAAGTACAGCAAATTTCAACAATAACAATAACAACGGTAATGATACTTCTAGCACTAACCCTACCGCCACGTCATTACACAACACTCCTGTAATAACTAATGTAGCAAGTAAAACTTCATTGGCATCTTCTGCATCATCATCATCTTCCATGATCGCTGATGAAGGAATAACTGTCACCAGTATTGTATTCTCTTCTTCCCTGTTAGATGAATGGTACACAAAAGTAGTTGCTGCCGATGAATTATTAAAGCATGAAGTATATGAGCAAGTTAAAGAACTAATAAACTTCTATCAACATGAGAAATTCAGAGCTCCAATAGATTTGGTTAATCACGTAACAGAAATAGTAAATCATGTCATCCCTTTATTAAGTGATAAAATCTATTATATTCGCCAAACATTGTCTCAAGATAGACATATAGGAAGATGGTTTGATGGTTCAAATGAATCAGACAAATGGATATCTGATACTTTTAGACGAGTAAAACAATTCGAAGTACCTGATCTAATAAATAAATATGATTGGACTGATGAAAAACAAAATATTGAAAATATGATCCAAGATCGTCGCCGAATAATTTATGGAATAAAACAAGATATTTTACAATTTGAAAATGAACGTTTAAAAGATTTGGAACGTAAATCAAATGACCTCCATTCAATAATGCTAAATCATCAACCCTCCTCCAACTCTCCCGATCCAGCCTCCCCTATTGCTACCAGTGCCACTACCACCACCACCTCATCAGTATCATCAAACAACTCCTCAATCATCATTCAAAATTCTCAAGAAGATTTATTAGTAATAGAATTGATGGAAAAGCAATTAAAAAGTCTAAAGGAAAAATTAACAAAATTAAAAAAATTCATTGATAATATATTATTGCAAACTAATGTTGAAAGCTTTTTAATGATAATTGATATTTTGGAAAATTTACAAAATTTACGTAATGAAATAACTCAAATTCGTAAATCAATCATTGAACATAATGATGCTAACATGGTAAAAGATGATGTTATAAATGTTGAAGAAAAAATAAAAAATTTTGAAAAACAATTACCTCATAAAACAGAATCATCAGAAAATTCCAATGATAATAATAACAATAACACACCAACTATGAATACCACCACCACCACAACTAAAAAAACCAATACTACTTCACCTGGTTTAGTAAAGGCTTTAAAAAATAAACATAAGAAGTTATTATTAACTATACAAAATATTAAGATTGCTTTGGCTGAAAACAAATTACAAATGGCTGCCTACTTGTCACCTTCATCACCCTCATCACCTACTTCTGCCAATTCTGAATTTGATAAATTAGCTAACATAATTGAACAAAAATTAGAAAATTTCTATACAAGATTATCTTCTCCTCCAACATACATGTTGGACTGTAACACAAATAATAGTGGTATTGACAATGATACAGATCATGATTGTACAAATGATAAAAATAATGAAGAAGGAATAGAAGAGGTGGAGCCTGAACAAGTTCATGGTTTGACATGTAATGATGATCATGTTGAAGAGTGGAGTGAACGTTATAACAAGATAGAATCTGAATTGATTCTGTTTGAGAGAAGTTTATGGGTAGAATTCTGGTTGAAGTCTGAACCTGCTAAACGATTACGTGGTGAAGAGGTGATTGGTAGAATTAATAAGGCAGAGAAAACATTTGCTGATATTAAAGATTTGATGATTTTGCGCCAAAATAATCTACAAACGATTAGAGAAGGCAGAAAATTTGCAAAAAGTGCTAATGCAATCAGAGATCAACTTGACATCATAAAGGGTAAGATGAGGCGTCAAGATACCAAGACTGATGCTTCAATACAAGAATTAGATGCTCATATGGCTGATGCCTTGGAAATGTTAAATAATCTTGAATCAGCTTATCAACATTTGATAGCTCCTGATGTTGGAGATGAAAGGTACCGTGAAAGATTTGATGAACAACTAAATCAGTTTAATTTGGTAGAAGCTTGGATTAAAGAAGTAAAAATTTGGTTCAAAGAGGCTGAACGTATGCGTGTATGGATAGATAAGCACATTGTGGTATTAGAAAATTTTCCAAAGTTTGACGCTCTTCAAGAAGGTAAAGTACCTGCTACTCAAGAACAGGTTGATGAATGGCAAGATGATTATGATAAATTGGAATTAGAAGTTGAGAAATTTGATGCTGAAGATATGACTAGATTAAGAGCTCATGTCAAATCCATGATGTGTGCTAACACCTCCTCCAATCCTAGCAATCCTGATGTTGGACTTGGTGTTAATCTATTGGATTGACGATGTCTTGGTCCTGGCGATAATCCTGGTGATACCGCACCACGTTTCCTAGCTTTAAAATCCAATAAAAAGTGTCATTATTATTAATCATCATTAGAAAACAATTATGACAAAAAAAAAATTTTTTACGTGATGGAGGTCTTGCAGATAATGATCTTTTTCTAGTTGGTGAAAAGTTTCTGTGCGGTGATAATGTTTGAGAATTGGATCTTGTACGCCTTTCAGTTTTAATATTTTGTTCTTCAGATGGTAATTTTTTCAATTCATCTTGTTTGGCATTTGTCACTTCAGTCAATTCTGCCCATTGTTCCTTCAAAATACTCAATCGATCAATTACTCGCCAATCATCTTTAACCGATTCTGATACTTGTTTTACATCTTCAAGTTTCTGATCTATTTTAGGTTGGTAATGTGAATATTGCTTTTCCAACTCAATCGACCTTGCATCCAATTCTATTTTATTCAATGATGATAATGGTGATCCATCCATTGTTGTTGTGGCTAAATCAACAATTTCAAGCAGTGAGCTCATCAATGTATTCATTTCATCTGCCTTAGTACCGAAAATTGCCAATTTCTCAGCTTCATGTAGTTGTGATCGTTTGTTATCCATTATTCCTGCCAAATTTGTCAATATTTCTGCTATACCTGAACGTTGTTGAACGAAACTGGTTTCATGCTCTGGTAAATTGTTGATATTTTCATCTAATGCTTCAATTCTTGGTCCAAGTATATGATCAACTTCAGCTTGTATTTCATCAAGTTCTCTTAGGTTGTTTTCAACATCATCTTTTGTTGGTAATTTTGGTACTCCCTCATCAATAAAGAATGATTCAATGTTCAAAACTCGTTCTTTCACTTGATCAATTGATGCTAAGATATCTTTGATGGCTTTTGAAACTTCTTGTACTTCTTTAGATGCATTCAAGCTTGATCTTAAACTTTTCAATAAATCTGTTAACGAATCCCAATCTTCTAACACTTTATTTGTTCTGGCTTCTACAGCATATTTAATTTTAGGTTCAATTTCAACATTATTATTGCTAGTGGCATTAGTATCATTAACGATGATTGGCAAAATAACACGTTGACTCATATCTTTATAAGCATCAATAGTAGGTTGAAAAGTCATTGCATTTTCTTCTAATTCTTTGATTTCTGCTTCTTGATCCATATCACCAACTTGAATGTTTAATGCAGCCACCTTACAAGCTGAAATCCATTTCTTAATATCTTCTGATGCTTCAGTTTGTGGATAAATTTTCTTGGCTGTTTCAATTTCACATCTCTCAGCTGAAATACTATTTGAAAAGTTTTCCAATGCTCGCGTAGCTTTATTTAATATGCTCTGTACACGATCCTTATTTGCTTCAGGATCCATTTTGATTAACTTATCAGCCTCAGCTTTCAAGTTAACATTTATTTGTGCTTCATATTTCTTCAGTGTTCCCTCAATATCTGAAACTCCAATCATGGCATTATTAATCAGATCGTTCAATTCACTGGCTTTCAATGAATAATATTCACTATCATTGAACTCATTATGTCTCGATTCAACTTTTGAGGCATCTTCCAAACATGCATTAATAATTTTATCAACATCTGCATCAAATGTTGTCAATAATGAAGCATTATTGGCTTTTTCTATTGCTTTTTGAAACAGATTTGATAATTCAGTAAGCTGAGTAGTGATATCAAAAAGATGCTTATTAAAATTTTGACGATTTGTATTATCTAAAATATCATTTTCAACATCAACTATCTGGCCAGCACCAAATTTGGCTGCTTCGAGCATTTTTTTAGCATTTTGTAATTTGTCATCCAACCCTTTAGCTTCAAATTCTAAATTGTCATAATGTGTACTAGGTAATTTATTGATACAATTCTCAAGTCCGTCAAAAATATCATTCTCTACGTGATATATAATATCATGTTGGTCATGCCATTTTCCAACTTTATTGATGAAATCTTTGAATTCATTTGATTTTAAATCCAAATTTTCCCACAATTTATTCAATTCTGTTTGTGCCTTGACTACATCCTGCAATTCACGTATGTCTTCTTGTGATGTGATATTATTAAATTCTTCTATTATACTATTGAACTGTTCAAATTTCTCTGGCAATTTTTTTTGGAAATTATCAAATACTATAGACAAGTTTTCAAGATTTTCTTTATTTGTTTGCTCAGATGTCTCCACCATTATACCATGTTGTGACTGACCATTGATAAAATCCTCAAATTGTCTTTCAATCCAACTTTGTAAATCATTAACTCTAGCCAAATATTCCCCAGTGATTTGTGCTGATATGTGTGCCTCAACTTCATCAATCTTATTGTTCATCAATTTCTTTAGATTATTGATCTTATCTGCAACATTCCTTAATAGATCCTCAAGAACAACTGACTCTTTCTTGGTAATTGCTCCAAGATTTGTTGAAAGACTCTCTTTGACATTATCATGTAGCTTAATCAATGAGAATAGTTCCGTTTGCTCTAAACCATTCAATTCAATTTGCCAATCTTTGATGTCATCCTTGCTCACCTCATCCACCAATGATGATGATATTATATCAGATAAGTTGTCAACTTTGGAGAAGTTTTCTTTGATCCTCTCTTTGAAATCAACTACTTGTAATGCCTGATCTAATTGTTGTTTGGTTTTTGGTATAGTATCTTGTAATTCTTGCCATAAAGCATCAATTTCCACTTCTTTAGAATTTAATGCTTCAATACCAAGATCAATATCTCCATCACTATTGTTGTTGTTGTTAGCAGCAATCTCTTTGTTCATTTGGTTTACTAAATCATTTGCTAAATTCTTAACTTGCTCATAAAAATCAGTATATGCCTTTTGTTCTGATTCAACAAAATTGACTTCTTCTAATAAATCATGTAGTTTGTCTTCACTAAGTTCGCCCAAAGTATCATCTTTCAATATATCATCAAGAACTTTTAAATGTGGATTCACCCAATCAATAATGCCTTTGGCCTGTTTCAAAAAGTCATTGATTGCGTCATGTTGTTCCAAAACATTTTTACCCTGATTTACTCTATCCATCAAATAATCAAATTTCTTTTCAAAATCTGATTGACGATCTGATAAATGCTTTGGACATTCCTTTGATAGTAAGTCTTTGATTGCTGAAACCATATCTTCATTTGATGATTTCAATGGTTCCAATACATTTTCTTGAAAATCTTTTACTTTTCCTGCCAAGGTTTCAAACTCTTGTTTCAGATCTAATTTTGTTTCCTCTGGAATTGGTTTATTTACGTTCAAACTTGCCCCTTCTTCATCCGAGCTTATATTCTTTTCAGTTGAAGTTGGTTTATCATCTTTGCCAGTATTTTCTTCCAAGCTGTGAGATTTTTGTTTTGAATCTAATTTTGGTTCTTTTGCTGTTTTATCATCAATAGTTGAAATAGTAGTCGAATCATTAGTTACTTTATTTTCATTTGAAGCAACTTTACCTAGATTATCAACTTTACCATCATCATTGGTTAAAATATCAACAGGTGTAGTGCTATTATTGTCATGATCATCAGGTTTCCATCTGGCTTTTTCTGCAATGAATTTGTTAACTTCATTAATTAAATCATTCAAAGATTGCATTCCAGGAGCAATTTTATCTTCCCAACTAGCACATGGCTGTAATACTGATAGGTCTAATTGTCTTTCTGATGTTTTTAATTGTAGTTCAGCAAACTTTTCATTCAACTTTTTAAAAGCATCATGTAAATGTATCTGATCAACAGGATCATCATTATTTGATGACTTGATGTCCTCGACCAATTTCTCAATACCTTCTTTAATTTGATTAATATCCTCCAAATCAATTCTATTATTTTCAGCTAAAAATTCTTCATGTTCTTTCAACAATTCTTTCACTTGTTCCTCATTATGTAAACATTCAGTTTCCAATGGATCAATCTTACGTTCCTCAAGCATTGCCAATCTTTTGTTGACCAAATCTTCTAAATTAGAAATATCATTAAACAAGTCATCTGATTTTTGTTGTAATTCCTTCTCGAGTAGTCTAAAAGCATCTTGATAATCTTTCATTGCTTTGTTAACTTTAAACTTCAAGTCTTCCATTTTACGATGATAAGCATCAACACCTTCCTTGACCAAATGATTTTCATTTTGATCATGATCTGAGTGATCTGGGTAGATAACTTTTTCACCAATATTACTCCAAGCTTGTTCAATATTTTTATTAAATTCCTCAACTCTTTCTATGAATTTCTTTTCTATGAGACCACCTCTTGGATTTCTTTCTTCTTCTATTAATTCATTTTTTAATTTCAAGCCATCAATATAAGTAGTTTCACTGACTTGAGCATACTCTAAAACTTCTTGACGTTGCTGCAAAACATTTCTACAAAATTCAAAATATAATTTTAAAAATACCAGATCACTTTCTTCAAGGTTTTCTTGTCGTATAAGTAGATGTTCAGGCACTTCCACTAATGAGGTCTCCACTAATTCATCAAATATTTGCCCAGTTTCAGGTATGTTGACACTTTCAAAACTTATTACATACTGATTTATTGATTCTAATTCAATTAACACATCTTTCTGGTTTGGTTGATTAGCATTAATGAACCATCCATCATCATCTCTTATACCAATTGGTTGTTTCCATCTACCTCTGTTTATAATAAAATCTTTAATGCTGTTTATCAATATATTCCATGTATTTAAAGCTTTAGCAAATTCACGTTCCCAATCTACTCTAAGTGCCAACACAGATAAATCATTTGATCTTTGTTTCGATAATCCCAATAAAATATCAAGTTGCTTAATTGTTTGTAAAGTAATTGCAATTGTCATTGTATCAGCAGGCGACATTGCTTCATTAATCTGAGAATTAATGTTACTATTTCTGTTACTACTACCATTACTGCTGCTAGTATTGGTGCTAGGATTGGAGGAGGTGTTAGCACACATCATGGATTTGACATGAGCTCTTAATCTAGTCATATCTTCAGCATCAAATTTCTCAACTTCTAATTCCAATTTATCATAATCATCTTGCCATTCATCAACCTGTTCTTGAGTAGCAGGTACTTTACCTTCTTGAAGAGCGTCAAACTTTGGAAAATTTTCTAATACCACAATGTGCTTATCTATCCATACACGCATACGTTCAGCCTCTTTGAACCAAATTTTTACTTCTTTAATCCAAGCTTCTACCAAATTAAACTGATTTAGTTGTTCATCAAATCTTTCACGGTACCTTTCATCTCCAACATCAGGAGCTATCAAATGTTGATAAGCTGATTCAAGATTATTTAACATTTCCAAGGCATCAGCCATATGAGCATCTAATTCTTGTATTGAAGCATCAGTCTTGGTATCTTGACGCCTCATCTTACCCTTTATGATGTCAAGTTGATCTCTGATTGCATTAGCACTTTTTGCAAATTTTCTGCCTTCTCTAATCGTTTGTAGATTATTTTGGCGCAAAATCATCAAATCTTTAATATCAGCAAATGTTTTCTCTGCCTTATTAATTCTACCAATCACCTCTTCACCACGTAATCGTTTAGCAGGTTCAGACTTCAACCAGAATTCTACCCATAAACTTCTCTCAAACAGAATCAATTCAGATTCTATCTTGTTATAACGTTCACTCCACTCTTCAACATGATCATCATTACATGTCAAACCATGAACTTGTTCAGGCTCCACCTCTTCTATTCCTTCTTCATTATTTTTATCATTTGTACAATCATGATCTGTATCATTGTCAATACCACTATTATTTGTGTTACAGTCCAACATGTATGTTGGAGGAGAAGATAATCTTGTATAGAAATTTTCTAATTTTTGTTCAATTATGTTAGCTAATTTATCAAATTCAGAATTGGCAGAAGTAGGTGATGAGGGTGATGAAGGTGACAAGTAGGCAGCCATTTGTAATTTGTTTTCAGCCAAAGCAATCTTAATATTTTGTATAGTTAATAATAACTTCTTATGTTTATTTTTTAAAGCCTTTACTAAACCAGGTGAAGTAGTATTGGTTTTTTTAGTTGTGGTGGTGGTGGTATTCATAGTTGGTGTGTTATTGTTATTATTATCATTGGAATTTTCTGATGATTCTGTTTTATGAGGTAATTGTTTTTCAAAATTTTTTATTTTTTCTTCAACATTTATAACATCATCTTTTACCATGTTAGCATCATTATGTTCAATGATTGATTTACGAATTTGAGTTATTTCATTACGTAAATTTTGTAAATTTTCCAAAATATCAATTATCATTAAAAAGCTTTCAACATTAGTTTGCAATAATATATTATCAATGAATTTTTTTAATTTTGTTAATTTTTCCTTTAGACTTTTTAATTGCTTTTCCATCAATTCTATTACTAATAAATCTTCTTGAGAATTTTGAATGATGATTGAGGAGTTGTTTGATGATACTGATGAGGTGGTGGTGGTAGTGGCACTGGTAGCAATAGGGGAGGCTGGATCGGGAGAGTTGGAGGAGGGTTGATGATTTAGCATTATTGAATGGAGGTCATTTGATTTACGTTCCAAATCTTTTAAACGTTCATTTTCAAATTGTAAAATATCTTGTTTTATTCCATAAATTATTCGGCGACGATCTTGGATCATATTTTCAATATTTTGTTTTTCATCAGTCCAATCATATTTATTTATTAGATCAGGTACTTCGAATTGTTTTACTCGTCTAAAAGTATCAGATATCCATTTGTCTGATTCATTTGAACCATCAAACCATCTTCCTATATGTCTATCTTGAGACAATGTTTGGCGAATATAATAGATTTTATCACTTAATAAAGGGATGACATGATTTACTATTTCTGTTACGTGATTAACCAAATCTATTGGAGCTCTGAATTTCTCATGTTGATAGAAGTTTATTAGTTCTTTAACTTGCTCATATACTTCATGCTTTAATAATTCATCGGCAGCAACTACTTTTGTGTACCATTCATCTAACAGGGAAGAAGAGAATACAATACTGGTGACAGTTATTCCTTCATCAGCGATCATGGAAGATGATGATGATGCAGAAGATGCCAATGAAGTTTTACTTGCTACATTAGTTATTACAGGAGTGTTGTGTAATGACGTGGCGGTAGGGTTAGTGCTAGAAGTATCATTACCGTTGTTATTGTTATTGTTGAAATTTGCTGTACTTGAATTAGGTGAAGATGTTAATAAACCACTATTATTATTTCGTGTTGCAAAAGTTGTCGATTCATCGTGAGTTTTTTTCCTTGATTCTTCAACACCTTCTAACATTACTTCAACCTTTTGAATTTCAATACTAATTCCTTGTATTTTCTGTAATAAATTAGAAGTCCAATTTAATTCCTGCAATTTTGATTTTGATAATTTTAGTAAACTTTTAAAACTTTCCCATAATAAGTTTAAAGATTTTAAAATATCATGATCTTTATTATTATTATTATTAGTTAATCTATTAAATTCATCGGTTTGTTTAATTATCAATTCATTTTCTAATTTTGATAATGATTCATCTAAAGGATTTATTAAATCTAGATCAATAATAAATTCATTGATATCAACAACTGGTTTTAATAATTCATGATTAATCAAAATTTTATTAAATCGAGAATTCATCCAATTAATCAAATCTTCGATTGATGAGATGAATTCTTTCTGCATTCCAGTTTCTTTTTCTTTTACAGTTGAAACTTCTTCAGTTATTTTCTTATAATTCAATTGAAATAAATTTTGTTTTTCTTTCATTTCCTGGTCAATTGTTGTCACCTCTTCTAATGGTAATAATAATACTCCTGTTGGATGAAGGTTCTTATATTCTTCATTATATTCTTCAAGATCGTCTATGGTTTCCACTGCCTCCGAATTAATGACACTACTCAAAACATTTTGTTCTTCTTCTTGTTCAATTAAACGTACATTTTCCATGTTTCTTAATTTCTAAAAGAGTAGAATCGTTAATTTTGGTTATGTTAAATAAGTTATAGTGGTTGAGATTATCGTTTGGTTTGTTTTTAAATGGTAGTTTAATTGATTGGTCAATCGATAAATCAGCTAATTAATAATTATAATTACATAATAATATGATTATTTATCATTGTCATCATCATCATTGTTGTTGTTGTTTTAGGGTTCCAGTAACCAAACTTGGACGTCTTGTAAAAGAAAACAAGATCAAAAGCATTGAAGAGATTTATTTATTTTCACTGCCAGTCAAAGAATATCAAATAATAGATCATTTTTTTGGAACCTCATTAAAAGATGAAGTTATGAAGATCATGCCTGTTCAAAAACAAACACGTGCAGGTCAAAGGACTAGATTCAAAGTTATTATTATTTTATTACATTTTGAAAAATGATAATATTTTTCCAATAAATTTCATATACATATATATGTGTATATTAATGATAATATTTGTTTATAATTAACTAATCATCAAATTAAATAATTTTTAGGCATTCGTTGTAATTGGTGATTCCAATGGACATGTTGGATTGGGCGTTAAATGTTCTAAAGAAGTAGCAACAGCTATCCGTGGTGCAATTACCCTCGCCAAACTTTCAATTATTCCTGTTAGACGTGGTTACTGGGGTTCATTGATTGGTGAACCACACACTGTACCATCCAAAGTTACTGGTAAATGTGGTTCCGTACTGTGTCGTCTTGTGCCTGCTCCTAGAGGCACTGGGATTGTTGCAGCACCTACACCCAAAAAACTTTTACAACTTGCTGGCATCACTGATTGTTATACTACATCACGTGGATCTACTCGAACTTTGGGTAATTTTGTTAAGGCTACCTTTGCTGCAATTGGTCAGACATATGCCTATTTGACACCTGATTTATGGAAGGATGTTGATTTCAAACAATCTCCTTATCAAGAATTCAGTGATATGTTGGCTGTAAGTAAATAGTCTTTTTTTTCTTTTTGAAGATTAAAAAATGAATGATTTCAGATTTATTTATTAAAAAAAAATTGTTTTTTC